CAGTTCAACTTCACCCTCTTCTTCTGTGCTCTGAGCTTTGGATGCTGCTCAGCATCCCTGAGCCCAGCACAGGTTACAAAGCTTGGGGGCACAGCGAAAAATCAGATATTCTGTCCTTGCCCAAAGAGCAGTTACTGTGCCCAGGAGCCCCCCATGCGCTGGGCTCTGCTGTGCTCTGGGGAGACCCCCCCTGCAGCCCTGATCCAGCTCTGGGGCAGCAGCACAAGAGGGACGTGGAGCTGCTGGAGCGAGGCCAGAGGAGGCCATGGAGATGCTGCGAGGGCTGGAGCAGCTCTGCTCTGGAGCCAGGCTGAGAGAGCTGGGCTGGGGCAGCCTGGACAAGAGAAGGCTCCTGAAGGGGAGACCTGAGAGCAGCTCCAGTGCCTAAAAGGGCTGCAGGAAACCTGGAGAGGGGCTTGGGACAAGGGATGTAGGGACAGGCCAAGGGGAATGGCTTTAACCTGCCAGAGGGGAGACTGAGCTGAGCTCTGAGGCAGAAGCTCTTCCCTGTGAGGGTGCTGAGGCGCTGGCACAGGGTGCCCAGAGAAGCTGTGGCTGCCCCATCCCTGGCAGTGTTCAAGGGCAGGTTGGACACAGGGGCTTGGAGCAAACTGCTCTAGTGGAAGGGGTCCCTGCCCGTGGCAAGGGCTGGAGCTGGAGGAGCTTTAAGCTCCTTTCCAGTGCAGACCACTCTGGGATTCTATGAGAAGCTGTTCTGGATTCAAGCTGATCAGGTCTACCTGCTGCCTGCAGAATGCAGAGCTCAGCAGTGACGGGATTGAAGCACTTGGGCATGCACAAATTAACAGAGCAGCATCCTGCAATTATCCTCGATGAGCTGCCAAAGCTCTCGCTGCATCCTGAAGCACACCTGCAGCAGCCTGCACGGGCCCATCGATGCATATTTGCTGCTCTACTCAATACAGATGCAAATATTTGGTTACTAAGGAAGCAGTGAATATTGCCACAGTCTCCAAGGAAATACCGCGGCGTGTCTCAACCGCTCCGGCTTAGTGGATGCTTCAGCATCTTTATCTCTGCGTGCATCCGTGTCTCCTGAGCTCACCCACCTTTCTGGGCTGAGCCTGCTGCAGAAGCTTCTGCTTCCAAAATATTTATGCTATCTCCATAGAGAAGATACGGGAGGGGATGGGGATGCGCTGAGGTGAACCAGCCTGGGTCCCTTCTTGGCACCCTCAATTCTGTGCTGAGGGCCTGAGGATGAATGTAACTCTGTGGCTGTGCATGAGAGGCGTCTCTCTTTGGGGCTGAACTCTGTTTCGTGGTGTTGATGGGCAGAAAACCCCAAAATGGCAAAATGAGGGGTTTAGCTCAGACAAAGTGACTGGAGCAAAGGAATTGAGCTGCAGTGGGAGAAGCTGCTGGATTTAAGCAGCAGCTCCTCTTTCAGGTGAGCTGACCGAACAAGTTGAAATTACACAGGGAGACAAACTGCAGTTTAAGGAGGAGAAACCTCCTTTAAAGGCAATAAGGAACCTGCAGGGAGGAAGAGCTGTTGGCTTTGTACCCGCTGATGTAACTCATTCCTCTCTCATTGTCAATAGCAGCCAACCTGCCAAATATTGTCTGTTTCCACAGCGTGACGTGATGACCGATGCAATTCCTGGTGTGATCCAAAGGCTTCCCTTATATGGGTGGAAATGATAACCCTGGTGACCAACCCGGCCCTTTCTCCACCTCGGACACCTCGGTGATGTACAAGGAGGAGGCGCAGCCCTTGTGTCCTCCTGCAGGTACCGGGTGCGTTAGGTGGGGACTGAGTCACTGGAGGAGTCACCGGGGCCCGCAGCGTGTTCTTGCCCATCTTCCCACACACCTATTGCAGGGCACGGGCAGGCAGGGATGGGTTCTGCTCCCATGTCATGGTGCAACCATGGGAGTGTGCAAGAAAGGGGCCGGATGGGGTTCAAAATGCTTTGCTGGCCAAAAATGCAGCCAGGATGCAGTAGGGCTCGTGACAGCAACTCATCAGCTGCTAATGCCATCATCCTGCTGATGCTCATGCACCATCACATGGGGCTGGGTAAAAACCCAACCATTTCAGGGAGGCACTGTTAAAAATTCCACCTGGTTTGCCCAAATACCCTTATTCAGGCAGGCAGCAAACTGCAGTGCAGGGTCAGAGCCCCAGGCAAGCAACACTCATCCCACTTTAACCACTGAAGCTTGCTGGTTGTTAAATGGCAGCCTCAGACAGAAGCTACCTCCTGTTACTGCAGAGTCTGGGGTGAATAAATCCCCCTTTTCCATCACTGAGGTCAGTGAGGAGCACGCTTGGGTGGTTGCTGCAGCCTGAGGGAATAGCAATGGGGACGAGGGAGGGATGCTGAGATCCCCGGGGCTTTGGCAGAGATGCTGCTTCACCATGATGCTGGAAAGCCGAAGCCAAGGAGGACTCTGCTGAGGTTATTAGGGGCAGTTTTTAAGGGCTGCAGAGTTTTATGGGTGTTAGGACAAAGGATTTTGGTTGGTTGTTTTAAAGGGGGGTTTAGTCAAACACACAAACCATAACTCAGTGGCGATGCAGGTCAGCTCGGGGGAGCATCACCTGCTCACTGTAACTCAGCGCGGTGTGTGCTCGCAGGCCAGGCTGTTGGTTGGCTTTGGTTTGGTTTGATTGTAAACTGGTTCCTTTGAAGTAAGGCAGACCAGAGAAAACAAGAACTTTCCAGACTACCAAAGTCTCAATGTATATAACCAAACCCAGGGAAATTAGTATCAAAAGAGCTAAGAAATGTAAAGAGCAATCCTGAAACAGCCGCTGAGGATGCTCCCAAAGCAAAGGGAAAACCGGCTGTAAAAATCAAATCCAATGGTCCGGAATACTCAGTCCCTGCTCCAGCCTGTTCAGGGTGAAGCAACTGAGAGCCAAAATAAGTCCAGTGCATTATTATTAGCATCACTAGGGGTGGGCACCGTTATTTAATTGATGGATAGTTTCTGCGTTCAGAAATAGCACCATTTCCCATCCCTTTTCCTCCCTGTCCAAATAGGAAAGGGCTAATCAGTGCTTCATTATTTATATCTGCAATTGGCAGGCAGCAGTGAGCTTTCCATGGCAGGAATTGGAGGAATCCCTTCAGGAATGTCTCCAGCCGCTGTGGGGTATCCCATGCTCCGGATTGCGGATGCTGGGCACGGCTGGTGGCAGCGGGTCAGCTCCGTGGTTGCACGAGCCCTCATGGAAGATTTCCATTTCTCCAAGCCTAAACCTAATTAATTGCTCGATTAATTGTGGATGATTCACTGTCAGGGGCTGGGATGAAACCGTAGCCTGGCAGCGGAGCAGGATGCTGGTGGTGACCGTTTGCATCTCAGGGATGAGCCAAAGCCCATTAGGAAAAAGGTTCCTTGATTTAATGACCCTTGGATGGGGCCCTGGTGAAGCCATCCTCACCTTGGTGATGGGAGCTGCCTGAGGAGCGCTCATGATAAGCATCATGCGAAGGCAGGTACAAAAGCAACTATTAGCTGGCCAGTTTATCATTTCCACTGATGCTTTCCTGCTTCCTTAAGGGAAAAGAAGGAATGAAATCTCTTGGTGTTCAGCAGGATTTTCCCAGCTGTTAACCGTTCTCTTTGCCGCATCGCCGCCTGCCAATGAGGATGGATCATGCCTGGAAAATGGGAAATTACCCACATCTGGGAGTTCAAGGATGGGTGGGATGGGGCTTGGAGCAAGCTGCTCTAGTGGAAGGTGTCCCTGCCCGTGGCAGGGGTTGGAACTGGATGAGCTTTAAGGTCCCTTCCAACACAAACCAGGCTGGGATTCTAAGAAACCTGCTCTTGGTTGGCTTCTGCCCCTGTAGTAACCTTCTTATTGGCAGTTTTAGTCTATTCCTGCATTTTGCCAGCACTGCGGTGGATCTGCAGGGTGGAACGTGCCACAGAAACGCTTCCCGGTGAGCTGCAAGCGTTTTGGTTCAGCAGAGCTTTGATGGTTGTACCCACTGTCAGCAGTCACAGCCAGGCCCTAATGACCAAGGTATTAAAGGTGTTTTCCCATAACCGCAGCGAACACAGGTTACAGTCTCCATAAAGTGGTTTTGTGCTTGGGAAGAGATAATCTTTTCAGGTGTTTCTTTGAGTCACCCTTTTAATAAAGCACCTCCACCCACTACGTGTATATTTTTTTCCAGGAGGTGCTCGGAAAACAGGGGTTTGTAACACATGAACAGAGCCCTTTGAAGAGCCCTCGGTGCCAGGGCTGATGAAACTCCATCCGGATGGAGTTTAATGCAGGTATTGCCCTGTAGTTCAATATAAATATTATCTGTGTAGTTTAATACAAGTATTACCTGAACTTTTCAAAAGCCATGGGAATGAATAGCATAACTACAGCTCTGTTGGAGCTAATAGCACAACTACAGCTTTACACCAGTGAGTGTTTTCTGTCCCTCGCTTGCTCACAGAGCGTTGTTCAGTGCAACGGAGTAATCACACAATTCGATTAAACAATAGCCCTTGATTGCCGACTGGCTCAGAGGTCCAGGAGCAGCACTTGGGAAACGCTTGTTTAATAACTTAATTATTGTAACAGCCACGTTATTTAGCACTTAGGCAGGACTCTGCTTTCAGATAACAGAATTCACCCCGTATAATTTAATCGCATCGGTTCGGTGACTTCCCGCGGAGCCAGTTGAGATGCGCGGGCAGGAGTAACGCTGCTGTGTCTGTTTAACGCTGCACAATTAACCCGGGGGCTCGCTGAGGGAATGGGAGCGCTGTTGGACCCGGTTACCCCCAAAACCCACCGCCCCCCCCACCCCGCTGAGCGCACGTGGGGGATACCCGCGCCCACGGGGCGTGGCTTATAGCGGAGGCGTGGCTACGGGGTTATAGTGGGCGGGGTCTGGTCGGGGTGGGCGGGGCGATGCTGAGGTAAGGGGCGGGGCCTGGCGGCAGCGCTGCCCGCAGCCTGTGGCGCTGGGGCCGCGGTGAGGCGGAGCCGGGCCCGCCCCGTACCGGCGGCCGCTCAGAGCCCGGGCAGCGGCGGCGCCGGCGCCCATAGGAGTGCGAGGAGGAGGCGGTGCCGGTGCCGGTTCTTGTCCCGGTCTCCGCTTCCCCCTTCAGAACCTGCTCCCGCCGCGGCCCCTCCGCCTCAGCGGCCGCTACCCCGCCGCTTCCGGCCGCGGCCCCCCGCCATCACCTCGCCTCACCTCACCTCAGGGGCTGCGGCGGCCGCCGGGCCATGAACTCGCTGCTCTTCGGGGAGATGGCCCGAGCCTTCGCCCCCGGCGCCGCCGCCGCCTCCTGCCCGCTGGGGCCCGGCGCTGCCGGCGGCCCCGGGAGCACGGCTGCGGCGACGGGGGGGGGCCCGCCGGTAACCGCGGCTCTTCGTAACGACCTGGGCTCCAACATCCACCTGCTGAAGGGGCTCAACGTGCGGTTCCGCTGCTTCCTGGCCAAGGTCCACGAGCTGGAGCGGCGCAACCGGCTGCTGGAGAAGCAGCTGGCGGCCCAGCAGAGCGAGCGCGACCGCCGCCTGCGCTACAAGACCTTCTCCCGCGACCAGGCCGTGCAGACCGACTCCGGTGCATCCCCGCTGCTGCCGCCGCCGGGCCCCGGGCACGGGCTGGGCGCAGGGCCCCTGGCTTCGCCGCCTCACTACAGCCGGTTACCCGGTACTATCTGGAGCTACACCCAGGTGCGGCGCACCGGAGGCGGCGGCTTGGAGACGGTGCAAGGGCCCGGGGTCTCCTGGATCCATCCGGACGGCGTCGGGGTGCAGATCGACACCATCACCCCCGAGATCCGCGCCCTCTACAACGTGCTGGCCAAAGTCAAGCGGGAGCGGGACGAGTACAAGAGAAAGTGAGCGGCTGGGGGGGGCCCTGAGCCTGCGGGGAAGGAGCGGGGGGGGGGATGCGAGCCGCCCGCTCCTGCAGTGCGGGGAAACGGGAGAGCCCCTCCTGGGGGCGGAGGGAGTGTGTGGGGGGCGTAGGGAGACCCCTGCGGACGTGCGGCTGATGTCCCCTCTCCCGCAGGGCTCCATCCCTGGGGAGGATGCCCCGAGGGCTATGGGGAGGCTCTTCCTTAAGGGGGGCTGTACCTGAGCTTGGAGACAGGAGAATTGTAGGATCCTTCCCTGGAGAGGCTTGGTCTCTAAAGGAGCGTTGTCAGCTCGGTTTAACAACAAAAAAATAGGAAAATTGGACAAAAAATCCGTTTTGGAAAAGAGAAAAAATCTGTTATTAATATTGCATTGCATAGTTCCTCCTAAATTTAGCCTGCCTTCGTTTTCTGATCTGATTACTCCAGGAGTCTCTTTCGTGTGCCAGCTCCCCAAAATTAGCTCAGTGCTGCAATATTCGGGTTGCAAATACTGCAGGGGAAGGGTTGCACTCGGAGGTGTTCCTCGGAATTGGTGAACACAAAAGCCCTAACGCCAGCCTTTGTAAAGCCCTGCTCGGCTGGAGGCTTCTCCGAGCCTGTTGGGAAGCCCTGGGCTTTCAAATGGTGTTCTTCCCCCCCGCCCCTGGTGATGGATAGTGTCCCCTTTGGGTTGCTGTATTTGCTCAGCGTAGTGTGGCAGAGATGGAGGCCAGAGGAAGGAGGGTGGGGGGAAAGGTAGTTGGGATTCTGCAGCGAGATTCCTGCATTGTGGAGGAGCTGCTTGTCCTTTGGGGCTGGTGTGGGCACTCCCAGCTGGAATTTTGCATCTTTAGGCTTAAAATGTGCTTCCTCTTTGCCCGGTCTTGTGGTTTTTGATGCAGAACAAATGTCATCCTTGCTTTCTGCTTTGGGAGGCAGCAGCGTTTCCCAGCTCTGTGGCCTGTGAAGCGTAGCTGAATTTCTTCTGTCCAGGGTAGCAGGACTGCAGTGTGCTCTTTGCATACCTCCAGTCACCAGTTTTTAGAACAGAACTCTTTATAACACACCTCCTCTTGTGAATTAACACGATTTAGAGAGATTTTTAGGCAGGCGTATCTGTCCCAGTAGTAATTTCTGGCCTGTTTCTCAACTAAGGTATTGCCTATTCTCAGTGCATCTCTTAAAGCTTGTGTGCCTTTACTGCTCTGTTCCTAATGGCTGGAGCACCTCTTGAATCTGGATGGAAAAAAGAAGTTGGCTTCTCTTTTTGTTGGTCTGGAATAGTAGATGCCATCGTGGTTGTGTTTGTTATGGTTGGTACCAAGGAGATGGGAGTAGTGGTGCTTCAGAGGAAGTTGTACTTGGTGGTGGCTTGGTTGAGGAAGATGATAGGTGTTGGGTGGGGGTTACGTCACCAGAAGTTGGGGATGTTTCTGCTTTTTAATGGCTATGTGATTTATTTTTCCTCTTAGGGAAGAGGAGACTTAGGGGCCATTTCAATTGGTACGTGGCTGGTTCTGTCTCTCCTGCTTGTGTACAGCAGCTTTTCACCCCAGAGTCTGTACTCAGGTGTGACTGTGTGCACACTCCAGGTCATTCCAAAACCACATCAGTTCAGTGGGACCTCTTTGTAGGCAATGGTAAGCCTCATCCTCACCACCCTTCCTGCTCTTGAAACAGGTTTTCCTCCTGATGCTTGACAGAAAGACTTGATTAACGCTTATCAACACTAGCATTGTATCTGCAGTTCATTACTATGGAATTGGAGTGATGATTCCACTCTTGACCTTCAGCCATCAGATGGACATCATACATTAAGCTCCTTTGGGGTAGCTTGGCTTTTCCATTTGTGGCCTTGAGCACACTTCTGCATGCTTGTGGTGTAACCGTGTGCTGGTTCAAATTGAATTCCTGCAGTTGAAGTAGATTAGTCAATTTGCTTTCATTATCACCAGCTAATGGGGTGTTGCAGTGTTTGTCAGCAGACCTGTAAAGATTGGTACTGATGTTTTCTGGTTTGTTTTTGCAGGGAAGGGACTATCTGTCATGGCATGGTTTTGTATATAAATAGGCCTTTTGGGGTTGCCTTATCTTGCTGTGAAGCCTTTGATGATCAAGTTGTGTTTAGGGAAATGAGTCCCAAGCGGAGAATAAACCTTGTGCCCATCTCGTGATGGTGGTGTTGGGGCCTGCAGAAAGTTTGGCGTGTGCACGAGTTTCCAGCACAGACTGGTGATCATCCCAAGATGGAATGGATGGGCAGCCCCTTTGCCTGGTGGGACCACCGGGGTGCCCTGTGCAATGGCAGGTAGCTTTGTGTCAGAAACAGTTTGCCAGAGGTACTAGAAGTGGTTTAGATACTGTAACTGCTCTTTCACACCAAGAAAATAACCAGTTTGCTTCTGGAAGACATCGGGCCTCGTAACCTGACCAAGAGGCCCCCAACTCCATCTGCAGGAATGCTTAAGCAGACAGTGATGTGTTAACATGTATTTCCTAAAACAGTGGAGGCTTTTCTTCCTTTCCAGGATGACCCCTTAGTTAAGGAGGTCACAGCTGGTAAATGCTGCTTGTTTGAAGCATTTGGCTACCAGGAAAACACCAGGCAGATGATTACACTGCGAGTCAGTGAATACCGCTCAAGTGAAGAGCTCCTTTCAAAGCCCTATAGCTCGTAGGTGATGTGTCTGGTTGCTGAAGACACAAACTCATTGCTGTCATTCTTCTGAATTGAAAAAATGCAGTGGTTGGACTCAGAGGTGAAATAATCCCTTTTGTGTCCTTGCTTTTAAAGGTAGCTTTACTGCTACTCTTAAAAAGAACAGTAGAAGATGGTAGAAGAGACTCTTTCCAATGAAATTTGGCCTGTGCTGTTTCAGGAATTACCAGTGGCTTCACTTTAGAAACACATGTTCAGCTCTTTTGTTCCATTCCCACAAATTATTTGTCTTGGACATCCTAACACAAGAAACTGGAGCTCCGAGGTCTAGAATGTATAAGAGTGCATCATCAGAGAGCAACTCAATCATATTTTAGCCAGGCTTTTGTTTGTATCTGAAGTACAAGTGGGAAAGTGTTCCCTCTAAGGAGCTCAGCAGATAGTTCAGACCAAAAAGCCTTTCCTTCTCCCCCAGATAATGTTATTTTACACAAATAATATATAATATGGAGAATTTTTCTACTTAACGTGTTGTCTTAATCTTACAATATGTTTTAGTGATGATCAGGACTTTACGTATGTGGATTATGATTTTCGCTGTGGGAATAAGCAATTGGAGGAGATTTATAAGGAAAAACTGAGCTAAAAATTAATTTCCTTTAGGTTTTTCCAAACTATGGTAGGATTTAAAAGAGCTTTTGTCCAGATCTGATCCCACATCCTTCCTAACTTTTGAGCTGGTATTACACTTCTAATAAGCAAAGGTAAAATTGTCCACTTCCTCTGCCGTCAAACTAGCTCAGGAAAAATCCTTCTCAGGGATCTCAGTTACCTGGGAATGGAGGGAAGGGTCAGATTTTGTTAGCTGAAACACAACTGGAGAGAAAAAACCTAAGATACTGTTCTGCTTCACCTCCCTTGAGGTGAGATGGAACAATTGTGGGGTTTTACATGACCAGTGTTGGAATCTTGGATCTATCTCTCCCTCCATCCCTGGGTAACCAGCTTCACAGGAGGGGAATAAGCAGGTTTAATCGCAGGCACGTGGCAGTGCTGCTGCCCTGTGAGGGCCTTTGGGTCTGTTTAGTGTATTTAGAAGAAAAAGCAGCTTTCTGAAGAGCATCTGGGACTGTGAAACCAGCATGATCTGTCATTATGTAAGTCCTGTCCTTGGTACGTGCGTGCTTTGGGGTCCTTCTCCAGGCAGCAGGGCTGAATGGGCCTCTGCAGCATGACAGGGGATGCCCTGTGTTCCTGTGGCCAAGCGTGCACCTGGGTGTTGAAATCTGCTTATGGGAAAAGGGGAAAACAAACGTGCTTTTTCCTGCCCCCAATTAGTCAGGCTCCACTGCTCAGCGAGGTGAAGCGCCGACAGCCTGCCTTTGGCTAAGGCAGGACGCACAGTGCGCATGGACTGTGTCCTGCTTGTTCACGGCACAGAACGCAGCCTGTGTCAGGCTGTGGTGCTAAGGACAGGGCTCAGACCTGAGGAGAGGCGATTCCATTCCTTCCCTTCCAGCCTCGCAGGGAGATCTGGAAGATGGAAGCTCATCGCTGTGTGTTATGCCAGTCAAAACGCTGCTGCGTGTGGCCAGCGCGAGGCTGCTGACTTGGTAAAAACCTTCTGCAGTCAGTCCCTGTTCTCCCTTCTGGGTTTTTTTTTTCCCCTTTTAGCTGCAAGGAGGCAGCTCCTCTGTCTGGGGGGAGCCTTAGGGGGAACACTTGAATAGATTTGTATATTATGGTTTCACAATTGCGCTTAATTGGTGCAGATATTGAGTTTGCCAGATGTCAGTCGCCTTTTCCAGCGCAGACTTAACTGGTACTAAGGGTTGAACTGGAAATAATTGTTTTACCTCAGGTTGGTATTTTGTTGGGAAGATTAATAAAGTCCACTTGAAAAAGAGATTAGCTTAAATTTGCTGCAGCTGGGAAAGACAAAGATTATCATTGTCAAAGGCAAACACACGTCAAAACTAACTGGATCTGGGGTTGTTTTAAAGCAGGGAACTTCATAAAAATGTGCTTAAGAGAAGCCCTGGAGGAATGTCTGCAAACCTTTAAAGCTGAAATGTCAGTGGTAACAAGATGCAAATGTTACACATAGACCCAATCAAAACCAAATCATTTCTTTATCCCTCTAGAAGAATGTAAGCAGCGTGTTCGACTCCTGCCCAGGCTTCAATTGGTTACAGAGCTGGTAATAAAGCAGGCTCTGTGAAAAGCCATAGATATATATATTTAATTCTGGCATTTCTGCTCTTCTTTCTGTCTTTTCAAGGGTTAGTTTTGCTTCAGTGTGGCTTTTCACTGAAATTTAGCATCCTCCCTGCTTCCGAAG